TTCTTCTTTTTGTTGATACTTTTTTTTATTTCTATTTATTTAATATTTAATGATTTTATATTTATTTTTTTATAGGATTATTGGTGTGTGAATTCATTGAATTTAAATTTTATTTTTATTTTTACGATATTTTTAAAGTTAAAGTTATTATTGAAGATGTAATTTAATCGTATACAATGCAATATAACATAATGAGCCAAATATAAATGCGAGAGATGCGGTTTCAAATTTTCGAGTACTTATTTTTAAAAGTTTTAATTATTTTAGTTACTCATTTGTATGATTCTTCATTTTTTTAGATAAACATATGAATAAGCTATGAAAGAATTAGAAGAAAAAAGTTTGTATATTGCAATTATTTTAATGGATTAATTTATATATAATCTATTCTTAAAAAGTAATAACATATTAAAATTGAATAAGTTTTTTATATACTTCAACCAAACAATTTTATTCAATGAACAAAAAATCTTTTCTACACTTATTTAAAATGTATTTTTCTATTTCTAAATGAAAAAAACTATTTATCATTTTATTTGAAGTGTCAACACAAATAAATGACAAATTGATTATACTAAAAAACGTATAGACAAAAACATAATTGGTAATATGACTTTCACAAAAATTAAAGACAAAATTTAGAAACTTGAATAATATGCCTACAGTTTGATATTCAAGTGATTAAATTTTTTTAGTTTTCTTCTTAACATTATGTAATCATAGAATTTTTCTTAGTTCTTTCAAATTAGCCTAACATTTATATATATATATATATATATATACTATTATTGTTAAATCTATTGAACTATGTTTATATACTGATTTATTTATATAAATATTCTATTATAACATGCATAACAAGGCGCTCAATGATAATATCCTCTCAAATAAGATTTATAATACTATTATATAATTAGTTAAATTTTGAAATTGTCAATAAATTAATATTAGTAATTATATATTTAAAAACTAATCGTGGATATGTATCCTAATATATCTAATATATTTAGAGATATTAAAAGAGATAGTTTCAGTAGTTTCAACATGTCAGCTTGGTGACATTAGAAGAAAGTTTAAGGGTATAACAGTGTTTTTCTAGATCTAAGGAAAAACTTCACAATATCGCAAACATCAGCTATATTTTTTTTTATTTTATATGCGTATAATTAGATTATAAAATGCAAAGTTAATTATATACAAATAATTCTTTATATATATATATATATATATATATATATATATATATATATATATATATATAAAGAAATTTTAAATAGGAAAGTAATTATTGAAGGGCTAATTAATTATGCCAGTGTGTTTCTAAGCTTTTTCAATGTTCACCATTATCAAAATTTTCTCTTATATCTATTCATACATCAATATTTTGTTGATTTTTCCCACCAAATTCATTCAAATTCAAGAATTTTTACATCATTACAGGAAGTGATTTTTGTGATTTTTCCCCAACAAATTCATTTAAATTTAATATTATTTATATCATTGCAGGGAGCTATTTTTGTGATTTCCCCCCATCAAATTCATTCAAGTTCAAGATCTCTAACATCATTGCAGGAAGCGGTTTTTGTGATTTCTATCCATAAGATATCTACTAATTACATATTTATCTCCTTTTTTATGAGCACTATATATCTACACAGCTAAACTTTGTTGTATTCTCAGAGGGTTTTGATTCAAGAATTTATTTATACATTTCAATGGTTGAAATTGATACTCCGAGAAGGATTACGAGAGGTATACATATATTTGATAAATTGTTGGATGAACCACCTTCTTTAGATTTGTATATTACTCAATAACAAGTCAAATTTTAGGCTCTATTGTTGCAATGGGGAATGAAAGAAGAACAAAGAAGGTTGATGACCATAATCACTAAAATCTGCTTGAAGAAGTCGAAAATTCAAAATTATTTAAGAGGAAAAGTTGTTCATTAGTGAAAAATAGTATTGAAAAAAGGTGTAAAGTTAACATTATTGATTCAAGTGGGTGCGAAAAAAGGGTAGTCGAACAGGATCAAGAGGAAAGTGAAATTGATGTTTGTTTGTATGCTTTTTTAAATCTTAATGTCATTTATTTATATATCTCAACACATGTATCGTGTGACATTGTCATTGTATTGAAGTTGTTAGTACAAGAAGAACGTGAACAAAACAACGATCGTGAGTTCTCTGACTGTCAATTTTGTATACAATAGATCGACTTTTTGTTGATTTTTTCAATTTTTTATACAGTCGAATACTTACACACTTAGATACATAAACACTCTATTGTTTTTCCATTTTCTTATTTAACAACAACGTATTCATATGTATAGTATATTTGTGTATTCATTTTTTGGTTTAACAATAGTGTATCTATTTTTCAAATTGTTGTATTCATATGCTAAAATTGTACTACTTTACCATTAATACATTAAATTTTTATAAGTATTTGTATCCTTGATATATTAATACTTTAAGTTTATAAATAGAAACACCAATTTGAATTCAAAGTATTCATATACTAATTGTACAAGTAATATATTTTCCTTATTTAGTTATTGTAATTACAACTGTATTAGTGTATAAATAAATAAAAAATAAAAAAAAACATATGCAAAAATACAACGAGAAAAATAAAATTCTTTTATATTCAACATTTTTTGAATACCTTTATAATTAGTATTTAGTGAATATATTGTTTTTAGAAATTTCAACTTATTATATATACGAATGAATCATATTGGCATATAATATGTAATTATTAGTTGATAATTTAATAATGAAAAATTTCAGTTATTTAGGAACATAATAAAAATGTTGGCTCATGAGAGTTATGGTAATATATCATACCTTATTTAGTGCATTGTATAAATAATAATAATAAATTTTTTTAATACAAACATGCAGCTGGAAATTGACATAAAGTGTAGTCATTTCTAGTAAATAACATATTTATAGCTACTAAGTTTTAATAATCCTATAAATATAATCATTTTTGTAAGTTACTCTAGAGAAATTGCATTTTTTGCTTTAGTATTTAGACCACATGAACAAATACATAAAAAAAATTCATCATTTTCTATTAAATTACAATTGTTGTCATCCACTGAAATATCATCAAATGTAATTGGGACCCATTGAACTATATTTGTGGAGTTGTGTCAGTGTTCCCTCAACCTTTTGCCTTATTTGTTTTCTTAAGGGATAATGCCCAAGTACCCCCTCAACCTATATCCGAAATTTTAGAGACACACTTATATTATACTAAGGTCCTATTACCCCCCTTAACTTATTTTATTAATAGTTTTTTACCCCTTTTTAGCTTACGTGACATTATCTTGTGGGCCCAATGATGGTTGACTTTTTTTTTGAACTAGTGCCAAGTAAGCTAAAAAAGGGTAGAAAATTACATATAAAATAAGTTCAGGGAGGTTATAGGACCTTAGTATAGTATAAGTGTGTCTCTGGGATTTCGGGCATAGATTGAGGGGATACTTGAGTATTTTCCCTTTTCTTAATAAAACACTTTAGCCATTTTATTTATGAAGTGTCCATTGATAAGTTTGCAATTGGTTCCAAGTATCTTTTTAAAAAATGAAGTATTACTAATTCAGATTGAAAATGTATATACTATATAATAATTTTTTTGAAGTGTTATATCATATTAAGAAAAGTTACGGATATTAAAATTTTAATAAATGGACTTATATAATTTATAACATGTTAATTATAAATATTATATAATAAGAATAACAATAAAATAATCAAAAAATAAAAATAAAGAGTACAAATAGTAATTCTTCAATTATCTCTACAAATGATGAATAGAGAGTGAAATAGAGAACGAATGAAGAAAACATTCTTTGCTAGCATTTGATCATAGATTTTCAAATATTATTGGCAAATATTATTTGGATTAAAATTTGATCATGTGTTTAGTCATAATATTTGGAAAATATATTTTACTTTTTTAGAAAAATATGATTTATACCTATAAGTTGTAAAAATATCAAAACTAACCATAAGTTTGTATTACAAGTCAATTGGATCTCTGTTACAACAATAACGAATAGTGGCCATGACACTAGAACAATGTGGTAATTTAGAGTGAGTGCAACAAGCATCGTTTCACATATCCTGAAATAGACAAAATACATAACTTTGTTATCTTGAACTGATTGTTCATCATTTTCATTAATAACCGTATCATCATATAACATTCGTTATATATATATATATATATATATATATATATATATTTTATCACTGCTTTGAAATTAACATTATACAACTTAAACAACAACTATAGAGGGTGTTTTTGTAAAAATTAAAAGTTTAGGGTAAAATTTCAATTTTTAAAAGATTTTAAATAATAAGATTTGACTCAAATACTAGAAAAAACTAATATTTGAAAATTTGGGATATTTGCCAAAAATATTTGCAAAATAATGACAAAGTATATGAAAAAATATTATTTGCCAAGTTTTTTCCCAAATAATATTTGGCATATCTATGGCCAAACAGGATTTTATTTTCAAGATATTCATAATTGATAAATACGATCTTTAAAATCAATTATGATTAAATAAAAATAATAAATTTTAAAAAATATCATATTAAATAAAATGAAAAAGTCGATAGACTCCTTATTCTTTAAAAATAATTTATTGTGATTGAAAACATTCTCTTCTACTGTATTTATAATTTTAGATAATTGAGGTTATTCATTAAAATATCAATAGTACATAGAATTTATAATTATGCATAATTTTGTCCAAATAATTTGTACCGTTTCTATTTAAAAAAAATATCTCTATATTATTTTTAGTTTATTTCAAAAAGAATGTTTCTATTTTTTTTTCTTAAAACTCTATATGAAATCAAATTAGACTAACCATTTTAAAACAAATTAGACTAACCATTTTAAAACGAGGGTGTATATCAATAAAATATCCAACACGGGTAGTAATTATAATAAAGGAATGAATGGCTTTTACCTTAATTCCTTTATTTATACTATGAAAATCCCCTTTAATTGACTTCCCCATTTTTGTATCGCCCGTTTCCATAATTTCCAAATATCCGCGCGCTTCCAAAACCCTCACTGTTTCCGGCGATTTCGTCTCTCTCTATCTCTCTTCTGCAGACATTGGTCACGGTATGCCAAGTGTCTCTGAAGACAGAAATCATCGTCTATGTTTTCTATATCCACACATTCATTTTGATATTTGTTTGTTTAATTCAGGAGGGAAGATGCATCAGAATAGTGGAGCTGCCGATTTGGCTCAGCTTCAAGCCACCATGCAAGCAGTCGAATTAGCCTGCAGTTCAATTCAGGTCAAATTCATCTCGCTTTCATAATAAAAGTATAATTAACTTCATGTCCTCCAATTTTGATTTCTAAGAAGGAAACTGGATACTAATAGTTGGAAAAGAAAGAAAAACAAACACACCCAAACAGAAAAGTATTGATGTGCAAGTATATTAACAATTGGAAATTAGCTCCACGTTTGGTCCTAGGTCATCAGGTTTAGGTAGAAAACGTGGAGTGAAATTGTAATTCATGTAGCTGGGAAGACTCTATTAGACTTTGGCCATCAACCCAGGTTTGTCCAATCATGGATACCTTTTTCTTTAGTTGTCATGCATTTTGGAGTCGGCTCCTCAAGTCATTTCTAATCATGCTGCAATCCATTACCTCCTGCCACTTCACTTCTTTGCTTCTAATTCTAATATCATCTCTTCTCAGCTATTTTAATTCATTTCTTTACCAATTGTTTCCTTTAAGTACAAACACGTGAAAACAACCAAATCAAATGATCCAAACACAGTGTTTTGGGGAAGCGTGAAGCGGATCAAAGCAATAAGGCCCCACACTTTAAGCGATGAAGCATAGAAGGCTCGCATCGCTTCGCTTCATCACACTCGCTTTACTGAACACTGAATACACATGCTTTGAGGTTCAACTTCTAGAAAAGGACTTCTGGATGGAAAGTTCAGAGCGGGTGCTAAAAATTTGGGTTGTGCTGTGTTCAATTGAACTTTTAAATTTATGTTAGTTTAGTCATACTTACCTGAATAATTGATAGTTGTGGTATTGGATGTTGTATAATTTTGAAGGTCTAATTAAATTGAGTAAGAGCACAGTTTTTTTTTAAAAACTGGTAACATTGTATTCCTCAGTATTAAGGGCTATGCTGGCCACCTCGAAAAGTGTTAGTTACATAGAAGGACCAACAAAAAAAAGGACTACTTACAAAGCTCCTATGAAATCCACTAGTTGAATTTCTTCTTCTATGTTAATTTCTTTACACCAAAAACCTAAAGTGGTAATTACTTTCCACTTAATCTTCTTTATAGTGCATTCTTTCCCTACAAAAATTCTCTGATTTCTCTCCTTCCAAATGCTCCACCAGATACAAGCAGGTATTGTTCTCCACCACCTCCTTTATCTTTTACTACCTCCCCTTTTGACCCAGCAACTTAGTAGGTCTGCTGTATGTTCTGGCATAATCCAATTTAGACATTATATTGGTAAATAGAGCCCATACTTGTGTTGTTACTTTGCAGTAGAGAAACATATGATTGTTAGTTTCTAGGGCCTCTTTACAAGGATAACATCTTGAGGTAATAATTTTTCCCCTCTTTTGAAGTTTATCATGTGTCAGGCAAGCTTTCCTAGTTACCAACCACGTGAAACACTTCACCTTAGTATGGGCTACACTCTTCCATATAGCACTCCATGGCCCTGATTTCTTCCCCCCAATTATGGCTAGATCCCTTCTACACATTCTGTTCACAAAGAATTGACCGTGAGTATGATGCCTCCATAACAATTTATCTCTTTCCAGATTTGTGCCATCGCAGATGGTTTTTTATCGTGGTTTCTTCTTCTGTCGCAAGCCATCCCCCACATTTATCTCCTATGTGTTTCATAATATTTTCAAACCATAGTTGGAGAGGTAGACCAAGTACTCGAATCCAAAACCATTGAAAGGTGGTGTGGGCTGGATAAGCCCCAGATGTCGGAGACCACCAGTCAAGTTCAATTTGTTTGCCCTGTCTCTTCCAATTACCAAGAAGAATGTGTTGTGCATCTTTCCTTGACTGGAATTCGAACAGAAATTGAATGCCGTTCATGTCGAAAACCTGAATAATGTGAACTCCTTTCCAAGTTTGTTGGATCCACCTTCTCTTGTTGGGATCTCGTTGCAATCTGGAAAGCTACCTACTAGGCATCTCTGTAAAAGATCTTTTCCATCATGATGTGAAGAAGCTGTCATAATGCCTTGTACCTTGGAAATAGTTGGTTCCTGCACCATCCATCTGTTCTGTTCTTGTACAGGGCATCCTTGTAGCTGCCTCTTTGAAGAATGATTTATCTCCCCTACTGCTGGAGTACCAGCTTGCATCAAAGACCTCCTACTAATGAAGTTTTCAATCCGGCTGACAAGTCCCAACCACCCCTCATTGTCCTTGTTTTCTGGGATAATAATAATAGACCTCATTTGGCCATTGACCGTAATGATCGACAAAAAACGACGAAACTTGTTGAACTTAAAAGAGCAAAATATATTAGTTGAGACATCTCTGCTTCTCAATGTCTTAAACATTTTACCCCTAATTTCTGATGCTTGTCACAACCTTCTGCATAGCCAACCCAGAGCCCCTTTGCTCAAAGTCATCCTCCTGGGGTAGTGCCTAGAGTTTTCCACCCATTCAAACCATGTGTCAGAATACATTATAGTCTCTGTAATGTCAAAAGATTTCCCACCTAGTCTAAAGTACATACGATTTTCCATGGTGAAAAAAAGGCTTTCGAAGAAAAGAAGGAAAGGGAAAGATTCCGGTGGTTAAGGACCACCGAAAAAGGGATCAGAGACCCTGAAGGGGCCTTTTAAAAGGAAGTCTCGAAAAAAGTGCCTGGGAGCATCTCATGAAACTTTTTTCCTTCATATGAATAAGAGTTCAGTTTAACATTCTATAACCTGCAATGGAAGTATGTTTCACTTGTTTGTTATGATTTGGAAGAGTTTCACTGCATTAACCATTTTATTAATCCCAATTTGTTGGTATGAATGACCTGGAAAGCTTTTTTATCTCTCCTGCTGCCTCTGTTGAGTGGTTCAATTGTTAACTATTTGGCTTTATGCTCTGATAATCCATCCAATTCTATTCCCTTCTGTTGCTGATAGGTTCTGAATTTTTGGTTCTACGAAATTTACCTGATAATTGTTCTGAAATTTGGTTAATCCTCATAATCATAGTTATATTAAGATCAAATCACAAATACAGACATCTGGATATGTTTGAGAACATAATCTTTTCTTCCTCCTTTTAATACATAATCTTGTTCGTGTTAATACGTTTAAGACCTTAGAAATGACGTGAGATTATTGAATTGGTTTACCTTGTTACTATCTGAAACAACCTCTGTATCTCCATGAGGCAGTGGTAAGGTCTGCATATACCCTACCCTTCCAAATCCTACTTACTGGGATTTCACTGCATATGTTGTTGGTGTACCTTCTTACTGGCCATTTGGCGTTGAGCTTTTGTTCTAACAAGTGTCCTGGACAGTTTTGTAAATAAACTCTCTTTCTCCCAATTTATATGGTACTCTTTCCATTTTTAGGACGTATACAACGCCATTCTATTAATAGTATTGTCTCTATATATAGAACTTTCACAGCTTTCTAGAATTCAGCTTCATTTGACTATTCAGGTTTTAAACTACAACATTGATGTGATATTTTCTACGTCCATTAACTTTCAACCATTATTTTAATATTTTCTTCCACTACTACAAATTTGATATATAAGTCAAGTTAATATCTCAAAGTTGTTTCAAGTCAAACAACAATTATAACGTAGGGCGAATGAGGCTTTTTTCTCCCTTTTACAATCATCGTGGTAATATTCCGTATACCACATTACAGGTTCCTTTACATATGCACAAAATTATGTGTCAGCATGTGCGTATCTTGAAATTCTTATATTAAAAGTATTAATTATTTGAAATTTTTATGTGTGGACCAGATATAGAGTTTGGTTCCTCAAAAGATTACTATGCTGTAGAGGTTATTTATCTAGCTCATAACAATTAGTATAGGATGCTGACTAATTGGTTTCCTGTGGATTCATGCCTTAAGCATTTTCTCTGCAACTTCTTGTTAGTGGCCATTTAACTTGGATTCTAAGTCTCAGGGAAAAACTTGTAGAACCTTATTTTATGGGGGAAATTATATAAAATGTCAGCCCATGAAGTTCATTTATCATCTTTTTAGCGCCAATGTATAAAAATTACATAAATGGACCATTAGGTCATATCCCCCCCCTCCCCCCCTCCCCTCTTCTTCTGTGTTTGCTTGTTCTTCTTCATCATCTTTGTCTTACTCCTCCTTCATCATCTTTTTCTTTTGCTGGTTTGTTAATCTTCTTTGTTCCTTTTTATAAAAAATTAAACATGCTGAAAACATGAATTGTTTTGAACAAATTATATATCTGAAGAGTCGAAACATAGAGAAGATTTCAGATCTAACTTTTGGGACTGTTTATAGATGATTTGAATTGATCGAGATTGAATAGTCAATGTATACATCATGTATAATCAGTGTATATTTGATGTATAGTCAAATTATATTCAACATTTTGAGTGTATTTTAATGTATAATCAATGTATAGTTCATGTATAGTTAAGCTATATTGCATAGTTGGTGTATACTTTCTATGACTTTTGACAAACTATATTGTATAGTCAGTGTATAGTCAATGTATACTTCCTATGCCTTTTGAATATTCTTTTATGTAAATAAAACATGACTATAATTATTCTAAGCTAATTATTTTATTGTATACATTTAAAATTAGCACTTGAAATTGGCAGATGCACATGAATCCAGCAGCAGCTGAGGAAACCATTTTGTCACTAAGCCAGTCTCCTCAACCATACCATGCATGCAAATATATTCTGGGTAAGTCCTTGTAATCATCCTCTTCATAGCTCTCTAAAATTTTCAAAGTTCTGATTCACTATCACCATTGCACTGTTTCAAGAAACAAATAAAGGCGAGCATATGAAGTGATAATTCTTTTTGTAGAGTAAAATTACTCTTTTATAGTTATGCTGTTGCCTGATGGATGAGTAAGTTTGCTTTCCTTGTGTCTATGAGAAACAAAGTTGCTAAATTCGATGAGCTTCCATAATTGTAGAACAAGCTATATGATGTCATAATGTCAGCCAATGGCGTATGCTGGATTTTACATAAGCGGTATCATTTTTTAAAATGAGAAACAATAAAGAAATAATGTAAAACCTTAGTAAAAAAGAACAAAATATAAATAAAACACAATTTACGTCTACTACTATATCTTTCCTATATATATATTTTAAAAATATTATAACATTTTCTCAATGAGTTCTTTTTTTTAATGTTATCTAAAACAACCTAATTAAATAATAGTACTAAATATTTTTGTACAAAGTACCAAATAATTACTAAAGCTATTTCCAATGAAAATGGACTTAAGACTCGGAGCAAGTACTTTTGAGTAACTTGTAGTAGCAAGTTGGAACTCATTGGATTAGGTGGCTCTTAGTAGGGATGTGGCTTTCTTTTTCAGTGTCAAAAAAAGAAGAATGTCATTAACAAAGCATCAAACAGATGACATTTTCAAAAAAAAAGAAGCATCAAGCAGATGCACAGATTACAAAACAAAGAAATATCAGCTCCCAAAAAGGCAAGAAAAGCTATCTAAACAGCTAACAACAGAAATCTATGGAGCTGATAAATTCTAGGTAAGAATCGACACCAAGTACAGGAGAGAGTTAACCCAACCAAAAAGAGTAATCAAACATCTTGCTTTAAAGGTAGAGATGAGAGTTGGGGTGCCATCAAAACATCTTCGTTCCTTTCCGTCCATAAGCACCACAAAATATATGCTGGAACCAAAGACCAGATCCGCTTGATGGACTTCCCAACTTTCCAAGAACTCCAGCACACAAAGTCCTCTCTCAATGATCTTGGCATGACCCAAGTGAGTCCAAAAAGTGAGAAGAACATGTTCCATAGGCCTATTGCAACTATGCAATGAAGGAACAAGTGATTAATAGATTCTGAGTTGCACAAGCACATGTAGCATCTGTTGACTATTTAGAATTTCCTCTTCGTGAGATTATTCTGTGTTAAGCAAGAGTCTTTTAGAGTAATCCAACTGAAACAAATAACTTTAGGTGGCAACTTAGTTTTGCAGATTAATTTTCATGGCCATTGATCAATTAAGGTTTTCTTGGAGCTTTGTTGAAGGTAGCATGTTTAACTGAGTAGGATCCGTCCCTGCTATGTCTCCAAATAAGTTTGTCCCTGCGTTGACTGTTGATTGCCCTAGTCTGAATGGTGGCCATAAGGCTAAAAACCTCTTCCAACTCCCAGTTATAAAATTTCTCCTTACTATCAGGATCCACACATTGTCTTCCCTATACTGTGAGATGGTTGAGTCTGAATGAGATGCAATCTGGAAATACTTGGAAAAACATTCATTAGAGGAGTGTCTCTTAGCCAAGTCGTCTGCAACAGAAATGAGCCGTTTCGAAATTGTTTTAGGCAAGCAACCTATGACGCCACTAGATGTTGCCAAATCTAAAAATCAGGGAAAGTGTCCAGCAGCGTATAGGGTTGCAAGGGACAGACTTGAAATGTTATCAGAAGCACAAGATAGCTTGCGCAAGGCTCAGCGACGCATGAAGAAGTATGCTGATCAACATTGTCGCTCAGTTGAGTTCAATGTGGGTGACAAAGTGTTACTGAAACTTACTCCACAAATCTGGAAACAGATTGTAAGTAAGACTGGACATCGGGGTTTGATTCCTAAATATGATGGTCCATTCGAAGTGGTGAAACGAGTGAGCGAAGTTGCTTATAGATTGAAGTTGCCTGAAAAGTTGAAAATTCATCCAGTTCCCTGCTTGAGGTGTGTTGTTGCAATGGCCTGTGGAATCTTTCAAGGGTAATTCTTTCATCATCTGCATCTGACTGCCCCACTCCTGATATTTGCTCTACGGGTTCTGTTTGTGATAGAACACTGAATCTATTAGAAGCTAGGTTGGATTTTTTAACTTGCCAAATAGTTTTAAGTTTAAAGAGTTTGGCCTCATTTAAAACTTTAGCGATTCCCCTCTTACCATTTGGGCCTGTTTGGTAATAAATCTGATCAGCTTCTAGGCCCACTTGTAGTTGATTCTGCACTGGCCCACTCCCAGTAACATTATTAGATTCTTCGACTTTTGCCCTTTTGTCCACTGGGCAATACAGGTTGTCCCTTTTTGAAGTAAAGCTGTCCTCTTTTGAATTAAAAAGCTTTCCCTTTGTGTCTCTTCATATGATACGAGATTCGAGGTGCCAACTTCTTCCTTTGACTTCCCTTTCTAAAGAATTGTGGCTTTTCCGGCGAGACAAACGACTGTATGCAGATACTCTACGACTGTGAGATCGAAACCCCAATCTTCTTTGAGCAACTCTATGGATCTCGGGATTATCTTCATGTTCTTCTCCACACAGATTCGAGCCCATAACATGTTTTCTGTGTTTCGTATCTTCATCAACTCCAACATAGCCTCCACACTTATATTCGATAAATTTAAAGGTTTCTGAAGACCATCTTTTGCTTATATCATTAAGCCCCCTATATTCCAACTGATAATTTTTTGCTTTCATTCCGAGAAAGCCTTGTGGAACCTGCCCCTGCTTGACCCTTCTCCATTCTCATAACTAATTTTGCACGGTAACTTTTTGACCATAATATCACCCTTTTCCTTTGATCTTCTCTTCTGTTGCTCTTTCCCCTTTGATTTCTGCAACGGTAACTTCCTCTTTTGTTCCATTCCCAGTATCATATAGAAGATTTTGTGCTCAAACCCCACTGAATTGACCCCAAAGGCTTTACAAGCTGTGGTCATCACTATCTTGGTTCAATGAGAAGTTTCGAGAACTGTCAGGTGTGAAATAACCTGTTCCTCCAAGCTGTCATCGGACCAGGGTAGTGACAAAGTGTCGCTACTAATTGGGGAAGAGAAACCTGAATCTTGAGAACACCCAATAGAGAAATCAGAGTGGATAGGAGGAAGAGAGAGAAGAGGTAGAGGTCGCAAGCATTCAGCTTCGTCGTCTGCGTCTCCCTCGCACTCCCCAAGAGAATCAATTTGGGTTTGGGAAGCCAACAATGGCTATTGAGACAATTTAGCATTTGATATTGTCGTCCCGAAAGCTAAGTGTCGCTGCCACTATATGGCAGAGTCAGAATGATGGCAAGACCCAACTGGAAAATAGAATTACATTGGAAAGGTCAGATAGATGGCACGACCCTATTGAAAGGAGAAATAATATGTATAGGGTCAGAATGATGGCATGACCGTACTAAAATAGAGAAATTATATAGGTAGGGTAAGAATGACGGCACAATCCTATTCAAATTAGATTTGAAGAGCCATAGGAAAGAAGAAAAGGACTGCAAATCAAATTTGAGGAGTCACCAAAAAGATACCTGGTGCTATGCAACTCGGATATGAGAAAGTAGTTTTAAAAATTCACGGTAGTAGGCAAATTAAATATGAAAACTAGTCTGGAAAGATGCATGGTGCTGCCGCAAATCAGATTTGAAAATATTTTCTCATAGTGTGTGTATATACATATATATATTCTCACTTACTGATTTGCTCATGATGAAATCTATACACAGGTACCAATTTCAAAATATATGACATTAACCCAAAAAGCAAACCAATACCCAATCAATCTATACTTCTCGGTCATATATGTAGTTAAAGCACTCAACATATGGTATCAAATCTGGTGTGACACCCACACTCACAGCCATGTTGTATCAACAGTCAACACGGTTGCAACAAAGATTTCGTAGAGACCGCGTGATCAACATAGCTTGGTAGTAGTGACTTAGAAACTTCGGACACCATGGGATGAGACCAACAAATTATGGGGCTTGGTTGGAAAGTGTCCCATGACGTAAATGTTGACATCCAAAAAGGGAATATGAAAGAACGTTGGGATAATTTTAGCCCACCAATGATTTGGTAAATATATATAGCCACCCATTCACATGTTATATTCTAATCTTTTTTTTTACTAGAAAAATAGTTTAAATAATCTTGCTTGATTAAAAAAAATGGTCTAATGTTAAAAACATATTCCAAGGAGCTACCTATAAAAATATCTAAAATTCTGTGACATAAATCTACGTTGCTCGTGTAATTATTATTGTTAAATACCAGAGTTTGCGACTTCTCTAACCACATACGCGTTACACAATATATTTTCTTTCTTAAGAATGAAATTCACCATATACATGATTTTCAAAAGTTGATTAGAAACTTTGGCCTCCTGGTAGCTAAAAATTTCCAGAATAATGTTCCCTATTTACAGAATAATGTTCTATTTATCGTTAATGTTACTTTTTCTTTACCAGAAAATTCTCAGTTGGCAAATGCTAGGTTCCAGGCTGCTGGAGCAATTCGAGATGCAGCTTTAAGGGAATGGGTATTCCTTGAGATTGATGACAAGAGAGGGTTAATAAGGTATGCTGTTGCTTAAATGATGTTTCTTGAGAAGATCGATCGTGTATAATAGTTGGAATCAATTAGGGAAATATTGTAATTATGTATTCTTGATTACTTCCCAGTTTAGAATATAGTTGTACCATGTATGTACTGATTAAATACCCTATAGCTTGGGAGAAATTTAAGACATTCCTTCACTTTTTCAGTTTTTTTTACATGGTTAATTTCACACACGATTTTAGAGCTAGATTAGGGAAGTTGTTGTACATTACTAATGACTTCCGGGAGAAATAAAGATGGTTGCCTTGCAATTTTCCATTCATTGTCAATCTGTTTTGATGATCTTCTATTTTTGTGATTGCTATGATAAAGCACCACCAGGACAGACATTCTCTGGCGAGCAAACACCAATCATCATCGCTGAAAAGGGAGCCGTCATGCTAGGTAGAGGAAAAGATCTCTAGTGAGATCTGTCTAGCGTGTGGTGCATGTGGCTTTGTTCTGGCCAACTCTTGACTAAGAACTTTAGTCGTGAGCCCATCCCTATTTTTGATAATATAGATCACCATCTTGGGTTTCAGTTAGCTTCAGTCTAATTAGTCTAATTTGTCTGACCATTCTCAATTTTTAGAAACTTCCCAGGGCTGTTCTGTGTTGGCTACTTAGACCTTTTCGACATGACTCAATATTGGCTACCTAGTCTTCCTATTGCCAGTGATGATCCTCTGCCAGAGGAAGCCATTGATGACAGAAGTTTTTTATGGGTGCAAGCAAATGTCCTTAAACTAAAGAAATTAGTTGATGCTGCCTTCGAAGGATGCAATAAGACTGCTTTTGAACTTTTTTTGAAAATTGATCAAAAGAGGGAATTCTTCAGGCAAAATATGGAGAAATACAGGAATGACAATAATTCCATAACATCCCAAAGGAGGTGAGGAATTTGGCTTTTAATATGAATTTTAAAGTCGGAGAACCGAGAAGCAGGGGAGAATGACAACTTCTAGTGGTCAATGATTAAAGTTGTGACATGGAATGTTGGGGGGCAAGTACCGAGAATAAAAGAATATCACTTAGGAGTCTTCTTCAACAGTAGGGTGCAAATATTTATGTCCTAGTGGAACTATAATTGACAGGAGTAGATACACAATTGATCAAACAACTGTGGTTTAACAGATGGCTGGGAGAATTACATCTAGAGGCTGTGGGGAGAAGCGGGGGTGTAACAGTGTCATGGGACAAGAGAATGTGGAAAGGTGAACTGGTGGAGGCTTCTGGGCTAGTAATCACATGCAGATTTGAAGGCATTAATATGAACGTAGTTGGTTCCTAAGTTCAACTTATGCTGATTGGAACAAAGTTATCAGAAGGGAATTGTTGAGGGATTTAACCAATCTAAAGAACAATTACACATGTCCTTGGGTGTTTTGTGGGGATTTTATTGTGACAAGATAGCACACAGGAAGATCAATTGGACAGAGTTTAACAAGGGCTATGTCTCAAGATAGATGCTGTGAGAAGAAACTTCCTCTGGCAAGGCAACTGTGATACCAGGAAGATACATTTGGTCAAATGGTAGTCAGTGATCTCCAAGAAAAAGTATAGTAGTATGGGAATCAAGAACCTGATAACTCAGAACCCTAGTCTTTTGATGAAATAGTTATAGAGGTTTGCCTCAAATGAACAATCTCTCTTGAAAAAGATAATTAGTCAAAAGTATGAAATGGATGGGGAATGGACAACCAAGTCAGTCACTACACCTTATGGAGTCGGTCTATAGAGGTTTATTAGAAATTTGGGGGCAATACTCATGAGTCAGTGCAGTCATGAAGTGGGCAATGGTTTGAAAACATCTTTCTAGTCAGACAACTGGTTAGGTCAACGTCCACTAAAGCAACTTTTCCCGATTATCTTCAGCCTGAATCAACTACATGATACCACGGTAGGAGAAGTCTGGGATGCTCATGGTTGGAATATAAGCTTTAGAAGACACCTTAATGATTGGGAGATAGATAACTTGGCAGAATTCTACAACACTCTCAAGCTATTCAAAGGCCCCTTCTCTTTGGAAGACAATCTTACATGGAAAGTGGATAAACAAGAGAGATTTTCGGTCAAGTCAACTTACAAAGAATTTAACCATTCTAACAACCAGATTAATTGTTGGCCATGGAAACTAATTTGGAAAGTCAAAATTCCTCACAAAGTGGCTTGTTTCATTTGGCTCATGGCCAGGAAAACAGTCCTATCTCATGAAGGACTTAAGAAAAGGGGCTTCCACTTATGCTCTAAATATTATATGTGCAGAGAAGAATCAGAGACAATCAACCATCTTCCTTTACATTGCAAGTAACTAGACAACTTTGGAGGATTTTCCTTAATTTAGAAGGGATCACGTGGGTTATGCGAAGAGATACACTTAAAAGTGTTACAGTGCTGGACGAAATATAGCACTCTGTCAGAACAGGAAGAAAGATGGAAGATTATCCTGCTTGCATTTGGTGGACAGTTTGGAAAGAGAGAAATCAAAGGCGTTGTGAAGATAATCATAGCTCTATCCAGAAATGGAAGATGAAGTGCCTAGCCCTTTTCTATTTTTGGTGTAAACATGAATTTAAGGAAGATATAGAATCTTTTATTGATGTTCTAGGATCTCTGTAAGTAGGCTACAACTTAGTACATCTTCCTATATTTCCTTGTAAGTATGTACTATTGTAGTTTTTATGCAGCATATTGTCATGACCCGAGAGCACTCCCAAGTCGGATCACGACGTATTCAACCTTGAAGAGGTCTTATACAAGCCCTTATCATAGATTCATCACATAGGCATTAAAAACAATGCGGAATTAAAACTTTTCTCAATATAGTCAATAAGTGGAACCTCATTATAAAACGAAGGAAGTACTAAGTCTCAACATCGCCAACTTCGACACGTCTCAACATCATACAATCACAACCCTTTACATTTAAAAGAAAACTACTAAGAGTCTATTACATGAATTTTACAGAATGCTTCTAAAATAAGTGTTCTCGAATGCTTGATGACATACCAAGACTCGGGAATAGCAAATCCAAGCGCTTCAATCAAAAAGGTGTGCTCTAGTTGCCACAACCTACACTTTGTAGTAAAACATGAAGAAAATCGTGTTAGTACAAATATGCACCATGTATGATGACCATGCAAAAACATGCAAAAAAGGACATTTAGTTGAGATATGTGCTTTTCATGCTATTTTGGTAAGACATCTTAAGATAAGTATGAGATATAATAGACATGGTCAATTAGTACAAAGATACAAGACATGACCATATTCACCAAGTAACGCATCTCATCTTTTTAACCCTCCATCTAAGGTTATCCTAAGACCCACCTAAGTAAGACATGAAGTGGCCGCCCATACAACCTCTTCATACACACCTACATGTTCCTCAAGACTACCAAATAGAAAGACCTTTCCTTTTCAACATAACCCAATAAGTCAACATTCATTACTAGATACATTTAAGGAGAGATTCATGCATTCAGGGGACTTCACATAATAGTCATTAAAGACTTGCGAAACTTACTTTAGCACCTTCTAAACCTACTCGTGCCATGTGTAGATAGCATCCCATACTACTACCTACACGTTGTAGAACCTATCAAGTAACTAGAGTGTACATCCCATATGATGGGAATAGACATTAACCGACATGGACCACACTAGCTAGGTATGAAATCCGGTGTCATAAGACCCCACACCGTGGAAGGTGTTCTACTTGCCAAGGGTAGAACTGGTACAACCCATGTTGGCACATGGTTTAAGTGATATCCAAGGACTTTCATTGGACTCTAGCCTTTTCTGCGGGAAGAGTCACCATCTTAACCATATTTACTCGGTGCTAGCCTTAGTTCCCATAGAGTATTTCATTTACATGTATGTACTAGAGAGGGTACTAACATTAGGTTTACCGACCCATAGTACTTCTACCGAGAAGGGCACCATGCTTAGGTCTACCGATCAAGGTTCATTAAGGATAGCTCATTGACTTTCTTCAAGAAGGTTTCCTACCGTTACGGCCCACCATCTCTAAGTCTATCATTTCATACACGAAGGAGGCACCATCCTAGGGTTACTGCTTCAAGATTTTTCATTCACTTAGGGATATAGACTCATCATGAAGGGGTACCATACTTGGGTCTACCTGTTCAAGACACAACCTACAAGCCTCATTTATCATTCATAGAAGGGCACCATCCTTAGGTCTACCGATTCTAGACATTCATACATTCATTACTCAACAGAAAGATGCCTAAGCCTACCAAGTGAAAAGGTCACATTCAACAACTTTCATACATCAAGGAGAGGTACCTAAGTCTACCAATCAAGATATAATATCACAATATAGAGGTCCTTCACATTCTATCATCAACACACATACCCATTAAGAGAGAGTATACCTTCCATCACAACGCACAACCCTCATGTTGCATACCCATATTTACACCTTAAGACAACACCTCAATTCACCACATAATGCCTTAAAGGTCATGATCACAATACATAAACAATAAACAAACGCGGCCACCATAAGTGGACCAAACCATACAAGAACAATTAAAATATAACAAGAGAATTAGGTGAACCTATGCTTCACCAAAGCCATAATCACCATTACTCAATTCTCCAACAATATCACCATATATAGATATAGATAACAACAGAAATCATTAATACAATCCAATCTAAGCATAATACAATCAATACACATAATTACTCATCAAACCCACTTCATAATCCAAATTTAGGAATTTAAGGAAATCATGGGTTCATGGAGTTTTTCACCTTAAAATCATCACTTCCCAGTAATATAATCATAATAACCTTTTGAAATCATTTAATGCAAGAAACCATGAGTTTTGAGGAAGAATTGGGGTTTTTAATCACTTTGAAAACATGGAAACCATTTTGAAAATGACTCTAGGGTAAAGCTGGCCCTAGATAAAGAGTCACCATACCTTTTTATTATGAATGCTGAAGAAATTTGGTGAAGGCGTCCTTGAATTTGAAACCCTAGCTTTCCTCCTCCTCTTCTTGCTCAAGTATGGAAAAAATATCGAGAGAAAAACTTTAGATGTTTTGATTTTGTGTATTTGAAAATAATGAGTTAAAGGAAGGTTTTAAGACTTTAAAACTATATATATATATATATAAACCCTTTAAAACTAACCCTTAAAAAGAGGAATTACCTAACTAGCCCAACTTTGGGCAAGCCCTGTCAGGGTCCACGCCCCCTTTCATGGCTTGTGAAGGGGGTCCACGACCACTTGGACGGCTCGTGGTCCCTTGGGCAGTAGTTCCTCTTGGAGCTTGCCATTTTCATGGGCCAAGGCATCTTCAAGGAAGACTTAACGGACCGTCTAGGGCACCACGAGTCGTGGTGGTGCCCATTGTCCTTGGGGCGGTAGCTTGGCCAAGTGGCCTTGCTTGGCATGCTACCAATTGACCTTGACGGCCACTTTCACGAGCCGTGGTCATGACCACGGGCCATGAAGTGGTCCATGGTCATGGGGGCAGTGTTTGGCCAAGGTTGGGCAGCCTTGGCCTTTGGCTTAGGGCTTGCCCTCCTTGGCTTGGCACATGCTCTTGCACCCTCAACTAACATCTCAAAAGGTATTTTAACATTGAATCTAGCACGTGCCTTGACGTTGACTCACTGAACTCATTCAAACAAGGTTAGGAACTATTACAAACCACATAGACATATGAACTCACATAGCTTGGAGGCAAAGATCAAGAATACAATGGTTGAAACATGGAGACAAAGTACAAAATACTTCCATAGGATAGCTACAACACACAAAAGGGTAAACTCCATAGATAACTTGAAGGTGGATGGTATAGAGGTGACAGATGCAGAGGAGATCAAAGAAGCTATTCAGATTCGACAAGAACCTATATAAGGAGGCCAAAATTAGTGTTACATGAAGCTGCAAGGATATCTGCAGAAGAACAAGAGGAGCAACAAAGACGATTTGAACAGGATGAAATCTTAGAAGGCATTAAATTGTTTGCATTTGAGAAGGCACTAGGGCCGGATGGATTCCCTATGTCCTTTTATTTGGCTTTCTGGGAACTTATAAAGGAGGACATCCTGAAGACTCTCCAATATTTTTATGAATAATATCAGAAGTTTGAGAAAAGCCTCAATGCGACATTCATAGCCTTGATCCCAAAGAAGTTTGGAGCTTCAGAGTTGGAAGATTTCAGACCTATAAGTCTCATAGGTGGAATATATAAGATTGTGGCAAAGATACTAGCTGAAAGACTCAAGAAGGTGGTTAACAATTTAGTTAACAAGCATCAGATGGTATTTATAAAAGGAAGACAAATAATGGATGCAACCCTAATTGCTAGTGAGTGTGTGGACTGAAGACTTAAAGGGGCAAATGCAGGTGTCATATGTAAGCTAGACATAGAAAAAGCCTATGATCATGTCAACCGGAGATTCTTGTTGAATACTCTCAGTCAAATGGGCTTTGGTGAGAAATGATTAAAATGGATTGACTTTTGCATTAAAACTGTCAAGTTCTCTGTTTTGGTGAATGGTGAACTTGTAGGTTTTTTTGCTTCTGAAAGGGATCTTTGACAAGGTGACTCTCTGTCTCCTTTCCTGTTTATACTAGTAATGCAGGGATTTGATAGCAATGCATCTGGTGGACAATTTGGAGAGAGAGAAATGGGAGGTGTTATGAAGTAGATCCAATTCCATCCAGAAAGTAAAATGGAATTGTATATTATCTTTCTACTTTTGGTGTAAAGAAGTAGGTTTAGAGGATATAGATCAGTTTGTAGATTTATTAATATTCTCTGTAAGTATCTTGTTTTCTAGTTGCTATGTTTTTTTTTTACCCAACATTTTTTGATGGTGTCCAGCATGTCCTTAATGCTGAGGAATACACTTTTACCAGTTTCAAAAAAAGACACATGAACTCACAAGACTAGTTCCCGAACGTCATGGTCGTCCCTTGACGTTCATCCTCAAAACTCTTCAAACTAGATTTTAAAAGTCAAAACTGAACATTTTGACAAGTTACCAACTTCTAAAACACATGTGAAGCTCTAGTTCATCCTATTTCATTTTTAGGGTCATAACACATAGTTATATAAAAAATGTTACATTCTCAAAAAATAAAAAAGGGAATGTCACTGTTAACCCTGCATTACAGATATCTAAATTATCTAAATTCCATTGGAAATCAAGTGATAGAGTGGCCATGGAGGATGACACGGAGAACCAAAGTACCTTACAAGGTAAATTTTTTTGCCTTGGCTATTGACTAATGAGGAAGTACTGACTAATGAAAACTTGAACAAAAGAGGGTTTTCAGCTTTGCTCTAGATGTTTCTTTTTGAAGAACAAGTAGAAACGATCAACCATCTCTCTTTACATTGCAAGCAGATCGATCAGTTGTGGCAGACTTTAATCAATACGAGGAAAATCAAATGGGTGAAGTCAGGACACATAAAAGAAGTGGAGAAGTGTTGGAATAGGAATGTCAATGCAGCTGAGAAGGATGAGAGCTGGAAGATTGTCTACCAGCATATGCTGGGGTTAGTATGGATGAAGAGAAATCAAGGTGTTTTGAGGAGTAGCAGAGCAACATTCAGAAATTTAAGTTGAATTCTCTAGCTCTGTATTATTTTCGGTGTAAACAGGTAGTGATAGATCAAGCTGTTGACATTTATAAAACTATACACTGGTTGTAATCTAGTAAAGTATAGGAAATCATATGTAAGATCTACACTTTTGAGTGGAGACTTTTGATGTAGCATACCTGTGAATATATAGATTTAACTGTTACCTTCCTAAAAAAGATAGCTTAGGCTTTCTGTTATGTCTATATATCTTTCTCTCAATGCCAAAATATTTGTAAGATATTGAACTCCCCCACCCTTGTCAAGAATTTGCCCCCCCCCCCCCCCCCCACACACACACAAAAGGGGGAAAAATGATACAATACATCTTTCTGCTCTGGTATTCTTCTAAAATGTAGTCAGTTACTGCAGCTTTTGTTTTCACTCTGCTATACAACATGCTAGTTCACCTGAGGGCTATGTTCAAGCAAAAGTTGCATCTGTAGCTGCCCAGTTGATAAAAAGAGGCTGGTAAGTGGCTCTATATTGGAAATTTGTAGTCAAGCAGATCATAATTCACGGGTCATATAATGTACTGCTAACGCGTCTTGTTAGGTGATTCCAAATGTAGTATATTTATTCTGTTAAACTAGCTGAATTCTGTATACACACACACATGTATGCATTATATTTTTTGATATACTGTAACTTCTGTGATTTAATTATATTTGATTTACCGAGGTTTTGTGATTAAACAGATGGAGATTGCCCCTTGAGACATGGTCTAGTGGTAAGAGCATAGCGCGTGATGTGTGTGTTAGGTGAATGTCACTGTTTTGAACCGTGCCACAGTCAAAAGACTGGTATTTAATTGGAGGAAGGTTGAGGGTTGAGCCCATTATCCACCGAGTTTTTAACCAGGCACCACTGGCCCTCACAGATTTTTTTTAGTTTTAAAAGATGTGTATGGATGACGGTGGTATACCTCAGCAAGGGAAATAAATCTGTTCTTGTGGTTGTGATTTCTGGCTTAGAATTAAATAAATATACATTACGAGGGAAATAACTGGGGTAATCTTTGTAACCTGGAGACTCGGCTAGATAAGTTAAAAATCATACAAGGAAACCATGTTTTATATTCAAGGGGGGTGCAAGGGACTTTTCAATCTTCAAAATGACAAGTTTATCTTTATGGCATCTTTTATCTTTTAATTCTAGCATGCTATGATTATCACTTCCTTTGGTTAGTATTCATGTGCTTAGCCAACACAAGTATTATCTTTGATATGAGCAGTTCCTTAATTTAGCTTTCGTGTACATGATATCATAAATTTGCAAGTAATAGGTACTTAAAAGTCGTTTATGTCTGGTTCTTGTGTCCCATGTGTAGGATAGAATTCAGTGCAGCTCAGAAGGAGACATTTTTCCTTGAGGTCTGTCGCATTCTTTTTTCAAGTTTATAATTTCAATATTTAATGGATATTTCTGGTCCAAGTACGTGGTTGTCTTGCATTGTCCATTTGTCTGAAGACTTATTTTCTTTGTTAATATGTTAAAGCTAGAATTTTTGCTGACTGCTTCCTTTAAAGAATTTTTGCTGACTGCTAGAATTTTTGCTGACTGAGAAATCGAGACAGTTTCATGATTTGTGTTTTATAAATCAATTACGTAATGTACTTTCTCAAAGTGAATTAACTAGACAACTGACAAGACAGACTTATCATAACTTTCAAATTCCACCTAAACTTTGAAACTTGTTTTCCACTTGAAACATCCACAATGTATTGTAAAGGTGACATCTCTAACACCACATCATAAAACATGATTATAAAGCAATCCATTGTTTCCACTATAGATTTCTCCTTGTGTTGATGCACTATCTCCTCCTTTTACCATAATTCTGCAGTTGGGATAGTGCACCAAATTTAAATAAAAAGCTCCCAGGCGCAATTCCCAGTGACCTTTCTCTCTCCTACTTCCTAGGAGAGTAGAAGCCCTCCTCTACGGCAACTTTAGTAGGAGTTAGCCCTTTTCTTTTAAGCCACCAATAGCCACCCATTTTGGTTATTGTTCAATCATCCCTGAAATTCTAAGATGGAGGAAAATAGAATATACTTTAATACTGGTTTTAAGTCTTACGACATCACCTGATGGGATACTGGCAAGTCGGAGTGGTACGAATGGGTGGAAAGGAGTAGGAATGGGTTTTAAGTCTTACGACATCACCCATTAGGACCATCCCCTAGGATTACTCTAAGTCACACTAGTGCAATGTAAAAACAACATCCCATTCTACTACTCCCACTTAGTGCTTCGTTAGAACTACTCTAGACTAGGCACATCACACAACAAGTCATATAACCTTCATTAACATTAGACATAAGACCAACATGCTTCATTAACATCATATAGAAACCCATTCATTCATTAACATTATAAGCACACAACAAAACTCCCTTCAAATGCCTACTTGTGCAATGCATAGATGGCGTCCCATTCCACCACCTACCCTAAGTAGTACACCCTTAGAAGGACCTAGTTCATTACATTCTTTTGTGGGGGCAAGCTTTGACCGACATAGGCCAAGAGAGCTTAACATGGAATCCCGCTATTAACCCCTACTGGATGAGGGATCCCCATTTGCCTAAGGTAGGGTCATTCGTTTAGCCTTTACATGGAAAACCACTAGCTAGTCCTATGTGGGCACATAACTAAGGGATGGGGAGATTGCTTCTCGATACTACACCTCTACTCATGGAGAGTACCCATCTCAAGAGGTTGCTATTAGATACTACACCTCTACCCATGGAGAGTATCCACCAAATTTCATATCCTCTCGGTGCTAAGCATTAATCCTCACTGAGAATTAGACTTTCATTACATTCATTAACTATAGGTTAAGGGATTGCTACTAAATACTGTACCTGTACTCACGGAAGGATGCTCATTCCAACCTATCATTCATTCATTGGAAAGCTCTTAAGAATATTGAGATTGCTTATAGATACTCCACCTTTACTCATGAAAGAGTATCCACCCAATACCCCCATTCATTCATCGGAGTTCTATTGAGAAAACCTTTCAGTAGACCCACATTCATTACGTTATCATTAGCTTCCTTCCTTCATTCATGTGTGTGTGAGTGTATATATGAGAAAACCTTTCACATAACCACCATCATTCTTGACGTTGTCTTCTAAACATGCTCATACGACATTCATCATAATCCATACACAAACATACTTCACATTCACATTATACTCCAATGATCATACTACAAGAATCACATGCATAACTAAATAATACATCTCTATACATATGCATCATAGCATTACTTTACTTAAATATTCAATGCCTTCAAGGCCATAATCAGAATACACCTACATAAACATATACAATAGCTAAACACCGCCACCATAAGTGGACCATACCACACAAGAGCAATTCAATAAGAACTAGGACAATTTAGATCAACTTACCCTTTACCCAAGCCAATCATCCTTTCTCAATTCTTTAAGAATTCATCATAATTAGGCATCGATAGCAATAGATAACAATAGGAACCAACAATACTACTCAATTTAAGTGCAATGTTATCAACATGAAACCATAATCACAAAACTCACTTCATAAGCCAATTTTAGGAGATTTGCACAAAACATGGGTTCTTAAAGGAACTCCATTAAGCAATCATCTGAATGCCCTTGATTCAACCAGTGTTACAAAAGGCGAGCGCCTCCTCGCCTTTGGCGAGAGGCAAGGCGAGGCGATGGGTCCTCGCCATTCTCTACTAAGGCGAGGCGAGATTAAAATGGCGAGGTATGGCGAGGTGTGGCGACACAATGGCGACAGAATAGGCGTCGCCTTTTTAATTAAAAATATTTGACTTAACAATATTAGTCAAAATTAGGGTTTTTTTTATACTTTTGAAATTTCTGCTTTCTCCATCGCTACTCTCTCTCTCGATTGACTCTCTTCTCGGCTTCTCCATCGCTGTCTCTTCTCCCTCGCTCTCTTCTCCAGTTCTCTTCTTGGCTTCTCCATCGCTATCGGCTTCTCCATCGCTGAATATTTGCTAATATGTGTTATTGCTATTAAGATTTTAGATAAAATATGCAATTAAATATTTTAAATTTTTGGTATTAATTGGCGTCTTTATTCAAAAAGGTGAGCGCCTCGCCGCTCGCCGCGTGGCGTGGCAGGCCCTTGTCGCCTTTTGTCGCCTCTCGCCGTCCACAACAATGGATTTTTACGTTATTACTTCAATATCATGACGTAGAAACATTTTAACAATGAACCCATGCATAGAATATAAATTGGGAAAATTGATCATGGATACACCTTTGAAAACCTTTGAATTGGACTCCTTGAATGAGAGGTTATTCAAGAATGAAGGATCACCATACCTTAGTATTAGGAAGCCCAAAAAAATTGAAGAAGAAATCACTTGAAACCCGTTCTCCTAACTTGAATTTGCCCTAAACCTTCCATGCTGTTCTTGAGTTAATCTATTTGGGAGGGAAGGGTTTGCTTTTCATGTTTGAGTCTAAGTGAGGGTTTAGTTGTTTTAATATACTTAAAATACCCTAAATAACCTAAAATAACTGTCCCCTCATGTATTTAGCCAAGGGTGGAATTTACGAAACCACTATGGAGGTCCTTGGGGAGTTGTACTCAGACGTTTTGACCCTAAACACGACCATCTAGATGCTAGTGTCACCTCCCATAATTTTGGACTCCATACGACACACTAAAACATGAACAACACACTAGAACACACTAGCACACAAAAGACTAGTTTCGAACGTCTTGATCGTTCCTTGACGTTTGACCTAAAAACCACTCAAGCTTGCCCTTGGATACTATTACTCCTTTTAATTTAGCAAGTTATTAACTCAAGAAACCCACGTGAGACTCTAGTTCATCCTAGTTAATTTTGAGGGTCGTTACAAGAGCCCTTTGATTGAAGAAAGGGGACAAGAATAAAAAGGTCTTCCACAAGATGGCTAAAGCTCACCGAAGGTATAGCAACATAGACCAACTCATGATTCATGGAGCCATCATTGAAGAGCCAGATAGAATTCAAAATGAAATTGTTTATTATTATAAACGCTTGTATACAGAAACCATCAGTGGTGACCTACTTGCCAATATATGCAAGTCCCAGTCCTAACAGAAGAGGATAATATGTTACTTGAAGGTAATTTTGATGAAGAAGTTTTAAGAGCCCTAAAATTATGTGAGGTGGATAAAGCTCCTGGCCTTGACGGTTTCACAATGGGATGTCTTGTGAAATGCTGGGAGGTGGTAAGCAGGACATCATGGATACTTTTCAAAACTTCAAGCAAGGAATTTTGAGAAGAGCATTAATGCAACATTCATAGCACTCATTGTCGCAAGAGCATATTCGGTGGCACAATATTCCAGTAAATTGAGAAATATCTCCTAGAATGAGGCCCATAGCCTTATACCATGAAGAGGGACAGTACCTCCTCCCCTTTATTTTTGTGCTCTTAACTTCCAAATATCCCTTTCCAACTTAACTTCAAATACTATTTTCAAATCACCAAATCTATCCAAATGCCTACTTAAGACTGCTTTTAGTCAAGTTGTGTCTTTTGATGCTACATAGAATGAGTAACAATTTTATCAAATTGAATGTGCTAAATCATTTTTCGATGCATAGGATCTTTATTCTCGTTTTACTACAGGTGAGACAGGCGATAGTTGGTGGCCATGGTCTTGATGTGCAGTTCATTGGATTGAACTTTCTGGAATCCTTGGTACATCACACATGTGATATCTTATAACTTTCAATGAAAGCAGTTACTACTATTTTACATTTACTCTCTTTTATGTGGTAGAATCAAATTCAGTTGTTCATTACAAAAAAATTTCTGTTAAATTTTTTCTGCATCTCTTTCAGGTATCTGAATTTTCACCATCTACTTCAACTGCTATGGCTCTTCCTAGGGAGTTCCATGAGCAATGCCGAGTCTCTTTTGAGTTAGAATATCTAAAGGTTAGTCAGTATACCATATGCACTGATGTTTTTCTCAGACTTGGTCACAGCTTGCATCAGCCCCCTCAGTTCAGTTTTGCAGTTTCTTCAATTTTGAGTAATTACATATGGTTCTCAAGAGTTCTTTGTTCCTAGTTTTTCTTTTATACTTCCAATGTGCAGTTGTTTTACTGCTGGGCACAAGATGCTGCTGTTAGTGCCTCCAATAAAATAGCTGAATCAGAGGCTGCCATTCCTGAAGTTAAAGTTTGTACAGCAGCATTGCGTCTGATGCTTCAGGTACTCAACTGGGACTTCAAATGTGATGCAAATGTGCTAGACAATGCAAAACGAGGCATCAACATTTTCTCCGCTGGGTTAAGGGGCGATGTAAGCTCTCCTAAGAGGACTGAGTGTACCCTAGTGCAGGTAATAAACTAGTTCTGTACCAGTGATTTTTTTTTCATGAATGTAATAGAAAGAACAAAGAGTCATTCATGTGCTTGATGTTCCCACATGCTACAGTTTTGTCAGTATTGTATTTGAGAGTGACCAAACACTTCCACAAGTGCAGCATAAACCTAAGTTGCTCAGACTCGGGTGCGGGCATCCAGACGGATGCGAATCCGAGAGTCGGATTCGGCGAAATCCAAATTTTAAGATTCGTGGGTGCGAATCTGAGTATGGATACGGCTAAAAAATTTAAATATTATAAAAATATAGTTATGAAGATATTCTAAATTTGAGAGATATATTGTGATAAACTTACATATATTTTGTAGAATCCTATCTTCCGTTCTTCAAGATGAGATTACTATTCTATTCTTCCTACAAAGACATAACAAAATAGAAACTAACATTAAAAGCATTTACAAATTACAACAGAATAAATATAACTAAAAGAATCAATAAAAATTGGAAAGAAGAACTAACCTTAGAACATGGATAGTAACTCTCGAAAGTTGAAACAAAGTGAAAAGTGAAGAAAACACTACAATTATTAAAATTCAAGAGATACAAAAAGATATCTATCCACAATTTAGATATTCATAATTACTAATCAATATTCAGTACACCAAGTAAAAGTGTAAAACATACTATTGAACAAAAAGCATATCATGAATATCATGAATAGTATCACACAATGTAGAGGTGTGTTACTTTTGTTCCATCTACCCAATATCATGAATAGTATCAAAAAAATTTTGATTGACCGAAAATGAGATCTTTTTTCTCATGCTCAAAGATGACTTTCTTGACTTTCTTAATCATTGAGTCCCACATACATAAATGAGATGTAATTTTGGGCCATCAATATCGACACTTCTTAGCTTATCAAAAATTGGTTCCGTAAATTTCAAGAAATAGTCAATACTATCCCATTTTTCATCATTCATTATAAGGAATTTTATTTCACTTGTCTTGGCTTCAATTCCCTTATCCCCCTTATAATTCTTCCATTCATCATCCATGACCATTTTTTCCAAAGAAGATTTTACTTTGCGAATTCAGGTGATCATAGTGATGTGTGAGGCAAATCTTGTTTCACCAGCCTTCAACAAACACAAATCCAAATGTTTTTGAAAAAGTGCATGTGCCATGTCATGGTTCACAACAAAATTCTTTAAATTACTCACTTCACTAAGTAACTCTAAAATCCATTTACAATTAGTAAAGTGAGGTGATTTTTCAGAAGGTTGGCACATACTTTTCAAAGCTAGATTCAAACAATGAACAACGCAAGGAGTCCAAAATATATGAGGATATTTTTGCTCCACTGTAGTACCGACAAGTTTCATATTACTTGCATTATCCGTAATAACTTGAACAACATTGTTTGAAACTACATTTTCTATTGCTTCAATAAATAAGTTAGCAATATATTCACCATATTTTACGATTCCACTAGAATTAATTGAATTCAAAAACATTGGGCCTCCACTAGATGATGCCATTATATTGATCAAATGTTGTCTTTTAGTATCGGACCATCCATCCGAACAAATCGACAAACCTTTCTTTTTCCATGTACCTTTTATTGGTTGCAACTTTCTATCAATATATGTTTTTTTCTTGAGCTAAAAGAGTTGACTCAATCTATTATATGATGGGGGAATATAACTGGGAATGAAATTTTTGGCTAGAAACTTTGAATATTTTTTTAAATAAGGAGAGTTGGCAAAGTTGAATGATAAACCTGGTGCGTAGAACATCCTAGCGGCTAATTTGTCTGCCGTATTCCTCTCATAGATGCCGAATAATTTTCCGATAGCTCCACTACTCGAACTCTTTCATTTCTGTTGTTGAATTAGATCAGTCCCCTCCGAAAGTGATATATAATCAGCTTTTTTTCTTGGATCAACTTGAACATTGGTTCTTCTTCTTTCCGCTTGTTCATGCTCCATCTTCAAAATCGCATATATATCACCACTACTTTCTTTACATATTTGAACACCATGACCCGATAATCTCAAAAGATGTGCTTTCACCCTATTATATGATCCCGTAACAATTTTATAACAATAGTTACAACACCATGTCCTATTGCCACCCCCATTTGGAGCCATCGAAATAACTTTAACATGATTCCATAAAGGTTTATCATCAAAATCTATTCCTACACTTTTTGTAGGTCTCATAAAATCTTTTTTTTTTTTGACTACTTGATGTCATCTTGTTAAACAAAGGAAGATGAGTTTTTTTTTTCTTACAATAAACTTTGAATGAAAAATAAAGAAGAAACAATGATGTTTTTTGTTTTGAGAGGGAAAAGTAGGTGAGAAAGAATTTTTTTTTTGACTAGATGATGACTGATGAGATGTTTTTTTGACTCCTACTCTACTTACTTGGAAGACTTTTGAGCTTTCATTTTTCACATTGAAGAGGAGTGTATGTATATTGTATACATATATTTTTACTATTATTATTTGAATTGTTTTTATAGTTCTAATAGAAAAATTTATGTTATCTAATTTTTATTTTTTTGAGAATGTTTGGGTATAATGCTTTTATCTAAGAATTAAGTAATTTTAATATTTCTTATACTTAAATTTTTAGTATTTCGATAGTTCGAAGCTTGAAGTGATAGAGAGAATAAAAAGATCTAATAAGACGAGATCTTTAAATGCTTGTATTGATAGGAAGAATTCAGTGATCTAGCAAAACATGATCATTGATCTTGATATGATATTGTATGTGAAATACTGTATATATATATCTATATATATATATACACACACACACACACACACATATATATGAAAGAGAATTAGTGTATTAAGCAAGTGTGGAAAAGCCGAAAAAGGGAATTCAGGCACTATATATATATATATATATATAAAAGATAAAAGGGAACGATAATTTAAACAAAATTTGGAATATTATATAGGCCTTTCCTCATGGTGTCATTGGTACAAAAATAATATAAAATAATAATTCCAAAAATTGACTACTTTGCTTGGAAGGGCTTATCAATGTTTAAAATTAAATTTTGGTCCATAACTTATTTTGTCTTTGTTACATGTTTGATAAGGAAAGTGATTCCCAATAGTTGTGCTTTGTCATTTCTTTTGGTGGGACTCTACTTCTTAATCTCATAGCTTATATCGTCTAGTCTGCGTGGATTTAAAATTTATACATTACGTGTTAAAATTTGAAATTTTAATAAAATAATAATAATATATTTAAAATTTTAACAAAATAATTATAATATATTTAATATAATTTTACAATGAAATTTGTAGATGTAAAGTGTATAAATATCTTATCTTTTATCTATATAAGGTAAAAAAGTTGTTTCCAATAGAATCTCTATTTAAAAAGGAAATATTAATTTAACTTATAGTATAATTTAATGGTATGAACTTTATTACTTCATTCATCCCATTTTATGTAATCCTATTGAGTATACGTAAGACTACTAACACACTTTAATATATATATATACACTAAGTACTAAATAAAACTACACTTATTTGTTTTTTTTTTTAAAAACCCTTTCTCTGGCTCCCTGCAGACCATGTACTTATTTAAGAGAAATCAATGTACCTTTTCAAGAAAAAGTAAAGAGCATGTACTTTTCAAGAAAGATTAAAAAAAGGCTATGTATATTTCTTTTTACTTGTTTCAACTTTCAAGAAAAATACATATTTCTTTTACTTGTTTCAACTTTCAAGAAAAAAACTCTTCTTTTTCTCTTTTCAGTTCTCTGTAGTTCTCAACTTTTCGGCGGTGTCGCTGGAAACTGATTTTCTCTTCTTCTATTTTTCTCTTCCCTTCTCTGTACTTTTTCAAGCTTTGTACTCTTTACGCCGTTGAAAATTGATTTTTTCTTCCCCAATCTTTTCTTGGCTTTGGTCAAAGTGTTCGGATTGGGTTGATCGAATCCGACACGCACCCCGCACTCACACCCTCACCCTCACCCTCACCAGTGTCGTGTCGAGACATGTTTGCCTGCAAAATGAAGAGTCCGCGCAAATTAGGCGTAAACAAGAGGATAATAAACCGAAATAAATATGAATTCTCTAATGCAGGCACCCTGATTAATGTGGACCTCAAGATCTTCCCTTGTAAACTCTAATCCCATACCCAATTTGTTCTCAACCTGCCAAAAGCTTCTATTCAACACTTTTTATTTGTCAAATAGAAGTTACATTAATGTATTTACTATATCCTTTTTACATGAGAGACTTCCTCTGAACATTATGCATGTACTTGGTCCTTTATTGCTCAAACTCTTCAAAAATACGGACGGATGTGTGTCAGATCATCCAAAAGTAGTGTAATTTTGGAGGATCCGACACAGGTACATAAATATTTTTTGTCAGTCTAAGAAACATAGTTTGGTTGGTCCTAACCACTTGAAAGGCTTAGTACAAGTACGTGTTGTGGTTGAAATAAAAGTTATATATCAATGACATTGATTCGTTGCATTATATATAGGAAAAACCATGGAACTCAGTCATTTGTTTCTGCATCGTCTTTTTTGTAAGAGTCTTGTGGCCAGTGTTATCAAAGGCGCGCTTTAAGCGCGCTTAAGCCCTAAAGCGAGGCACAAAATGTGTTGAGTGCTTTGCCTCGCTTTATGTGCCTTTAGTGTCATCATCAAGGTTCTAAGGCAAACATTTCCTTGGCAGTGTGGCTCTTATGAAGAATTTGAGGTTAAATAATTGATATTTCATTTTGTCATAATTTTTTAAATTTCTTTGGTCATATATTTGTCATTCATGTTTATAATTTTTAGTCTTGGAGTAAACATATATTTTTGTTCTTTTCTCCCTTTGCGCCTTTTTTTTGTTAAGATCCACACTTTATTTGCACTTTGCGCTTAAAGCCCCCACATACCTTAGAGGTTTTTTATGCTTGTCGCCTTTGATAACACTGCATGTGGCAGAGATGTTCAGAACATCAAATCGGGTCGAGAAAACTTC